CTGCACTGGTTTATGATGGAAAATTGTAGTCGTAAGTTGAGGATTACCTGTCAAGAGCCAGAAATCAGGAGATTCAGGCTGTTCAAATGAATATATATAGGTTTATTGCCAGCTTAAGCTCTCTACAAGAATCTGAACTACAAACAATCAAAGCAAATTGGTGGTAGATGAGGAATACGGACCCAGATCTCCTGTGGGCGTGAAGAGAATTGAGACTGATGACATACTTGACCCCTCCCTCAGTCTCAGTCTCGTCATCCCCTACACAACCTATACTGGCGGACTCCCAGTGATTCTAGGTCAGTGATGGCGAACCTTTTAGAGACCGAGTGCCCAAAACCTGGCCCTGCCCCCGCTCCACCCCCTGCCCCACCCCGTTGTGCCCCCATCCCCCGCCCCGCCTGCCCGCAGGGCCACTCACCGCCTCCAGGGCCCACCGCAGATCGCCCAGGCAGCCCAGCAGCGCCATGGTGGCCACGCCCTCTCCCCGCGCCCTGCAGCATCAACTGTGCGCGATGGGACGTGAGGGCAGAGACTTGTCTACACTGCCTGGCTGCCATATTCTTGGCTGCACTGCTCCGCGTGGGCCACGCTGAGGGGCGACTCTCCTTCAGGGGGCCTGCTGGAGAGGAGGGGGTCGTGGGGGGAGGCAAGGCTGGGGCAACGGCATGTGTGCCCACAGAGAGGGCTCCGAGTGCCGCCTCTGGTACCTGTGCCATAAGTTCACCACCACTGTTCTAGGTGATTTACAATTGTTAAAACATTTAAAAATAAAGGATAATAGAAAAAAACCCTGCAAAACAGAGAGAAGAACAGGATGGGGGGGGGGGAAATAAACCCAGAAGGGAGGGAGGGAGGAAGGAAGGAAGGAAATGGGAAGGGAGAGGAAGGAGTGAATGAGTGAGTGAAGGGAGAGGGAGGAGGGAAGGAGGAAGGAAATGGGGAGGGAGAGAGGGAGGGAGGGCGGAAGGAAATGGGAAGGGAGAGGGAGGAGGGAGGAAGAGAGGGAAGAAGGAAGGAAGGAAGGAAGGAAGGAAGGAAGGAAGGAAGGAAGGAAGGAAATGAGAAGGAAGATGGAGGAATGAGGAAGGAAGGAAAGGGAGGGAGGGAGGGAGGGAGGAAATGGGAAGGGAGAGGAAGGAGTGAGGGAGTGAGTGAAGGGAGAGGGAGGAGTGAGGGAGGGAGGAAGGAAGGAAATGGGAAGGGAGAGGGAGGAGGAGGGAGAGAGGGAAGAAGGAAGGAAGGAAGGAAGGAAGGAAGGAAGGAAGGAAGGAAGGAAGGAAGGAAGGAAGGAAGGAAGGAAGGAAGGAAAGAGTGTCAGTTCTCTTCTCCAGACTTTCTAAAGCAGCCTCACCATCTGTTCCTATCCATCTCCTTGGGGACATGAGATATGATACTTGGTAATGAGATCGTGTTTCCCCTGTTAATTGGTAACTGCGAAGCCATTCTAAGCCCTCCGCTTTGGAAGCCGGCTTATCCTTCGGTCACACCTTGCCTTGTGCACAGGGATGACATAATTAGTGTGAAAAGACTCAGCTTCTGTTAGCCCACTTGGACACTTCTCCACTGGAAGTGTGTTCATTAAAAGAGATGGGGACAAGAATTTGGAAAGGCTTCACTAACTCCTCCAAACTCTTCTTCCTAACAGGCTCTGATTATATTTGGGGGAGTGAAGATCCCGTAACATTGTGAGAGGCCACTTGCTTGAAGGTCAAGCAACTGGAAAGCAACACATTCAAATTTCAGATTCAGAATAGAACTGGAAGGGACTTGGAGGTCTTCTAGCCCAACCCCCTGCTCAAGCAGGAGACCCTGTGCAATTTGAGACAAATGGCTGTCCAGTCTCTTCTTAAAAGCCTCCAATGATTGAACACCTACGACTTCTGGAGGCAAGCTGTTCCACTGGTTAATTGTCCTCGCTGTTAGGAAGTTTTCCCTTTATTCCAGGTTGCTCCTCTCCTTGATTATTTTCCATCCCTTGTTTTTTGTCTCGCCCTCAGGTGCTTTGGAAAATAGCGTTGAAGGGAAAGTCTTCATCAGGGTTCAGTCCAAGCCGGGAATAAACAACATGGCGACTATTTTAGAAAGAAGGTTGCATTTATTGAAGAAGGGAGCCAGACAGAAAGATGACTCTGGAAGAAAAGAGCACATGTAGGGAGTGGGTTTTTATACCCTCTGGGGCTCTTGAGGTTGTTTCCTGTTCCTGTTTGAGGCTTTATATTTCCTATATCATGTATTTTGACCTGTGTCCCTTTGTGGTCTGTGGGTTAATCCTATTATGTCCCCTCTTACAGTTTGGGTGGGGTATGTAGATTTTAGGTGTCTTCTTAATCTTCTAGCTGGGGACCGCCAACCTTCCTGGATGGTTTACATCTGCATTTCTACATTTCTGCTTGGGGGAGGGAGACTCGGGGCTATTAAGAAAACTGGGCATGCTTTTCTGCCTCTTTAAGATCCTTTGAGGAAATATATTTTTCTTCCCTTTTAATATTTCCTTCTCTTGGGGGGGGGGGAGCTGACTTCCCACAATAGGTTGACCCAGTGGTTGGATTCAAATATGAACAACCGGTTCTCTGTGTGGATGCCGCTTCTGAAAATCCATTTTGTGCCTGGGCAACAAAAAAATAGCTACCGGTTCTGCCAAAGTGGTGTAAACTGGCTGAATCCCACCACTGCCCCTCCCCTGAGGTCCAGATTGTGTGACCCTGTGGTTCTTTTGTCAAGCATGAAAGATTGGCTGTTTCCCTAAGATTTGGGCCTGGGAAGTTAAGTGGATCCCAGCTGGTTGATTGGTGTGTTTAGATCCAGCCTTCAGATCAGAAACGGAATGATTTTAGTCACTGTATATAAATTATACTAGCTGTTCTGTACCTTTATTTTATATTTTATCCCTGTTTGGCTTCAGCCCTTCGGGCACTATCTGTAGTCCCCACAAGCGAGGGAGGCAGCCACATTTAAATATTTATATTTAAATAAATAAACTTGCGGTCTTTTGTTTGTTTGTGTGTCTCAGCCTTAGCCAGTTAATGCATAAATCATTTTTAAAGCTGCCAAGGCAAATGGGAATACAGAAAGTATAATTGCTTAAAGGGAGGTGCATTTTCTATGCCATAAAACACAAACACAAATACAGTCCAGCAACGAGGAGAACAAAAATTAACAAAGAAACAAGTTGCAGACCTCTTAAGATTGCTTGAATCAACAGATTCCTCATTTTGCAAAGGCACAGATACAAATCTGACAGAGAAAAAACAAACAAATCACGTAACCTGGTTTTCATGCCTATCTAAATAAACACAACTGAAAAGAATATTACTATTATTTACCTTGTGCTTAAGCACAAAACAGAAAAAAGGAAGTATCAGCTTAATTTCACTATACAACAATGTTAAGAAGACACATTAAAAACTGTGGCAGCTGTTACCCCTAAGGGAATAGAGAAATCCCAAAGAGGTAACTGTATATGACAAAAAAGATAAATGTTGTAGATAAATTAGACCATGCAAAGCATACTAATAATATATGTTGCGGTTTTGTGATGTTCTTGTTGTGGGAATTACGAATTTTTGTTCGCAGTCAAAATACACAGTGATGTGGATAAGGATTGATTGTTGTTGTTAGTTGCGAAGTCGTGTCTGCCCCATCGCGATCCCATGGACAACATTCCTCCAGGTCTTCCTGTCCTCTACCATCTTCTGGAGTCCATTTAAGCTCACGCCTACTGCTTCAGTGACTCCATCCAGCCATTTCATTCTCTGTCGTCTCCTTCTTCTCTTGCCCTCAATCTTTCCCAGCATCAGGTTCTTCTCCGGTGAGTCCTTCCTTCTCATTAGGTGGCCAAAGTACTTGAGTTTCAGCTTCAGGATCTGGTCTTCTAAAGAACAGTTGGGGTTGATCTCTTCTAGGACTGACCGGTTTGAACGCCTTGCAGTCCAGGGGACTCGCAGGAGTCTTCCCCAGAAATGTTGATTAACTAAAATGTGTTGTATGAATTCTATGCTATGCTTAATTTATACAACTGAAGCATCAAAGAAGTGGTTGCAATCAATAAATCAAGTAAAATTAAATAGTACAGTACTGTATAAATGCCAGAGAAGCATTGCCATCAGGACCACAGTCCCCAATCAAAAGATAACAACAACAACAATAATAATAACATTAATACTAACAGAAACACCAATATGTCTTATTTACCATTAGAATTCATTCTAATGCCTCATTAAAACAGGAGCGTTCTGTCTTTCAAATTATTCGTTATTAATTTCCAGTTGCTCAAATACGCCCAGAAAAGAAAAAAAGAAAAACTTTTAAACATAGATAACTTTCCAAATTCAATTTTGATAATGGTTAGTAGAAAAGAATGATCTTTCCCTCATGATTATAGCGTAAGCTTGTAATCGGATGCAAAGAAAATCAAAAGCTTCTATTTCTTTTTACTCTTTCTTTCTGCATTTTTTTTCTTTTTTTCTTATTTTTTATTTTATTTTACTGTACTTGTATTCTGCTTTTATTATTTTTACAAATCACTCGAGACAGCGAGGATATCCCCCACACCTTCCTCCTCCTATTTTCCTCACAACAACGACCTTGTGAGGTAGGCTGGGCTGAGAGAGGGCTTGGTCCATAGCCACCCAACCGGCTTCCGTGCATAAAGCAGGACTAGAACTCGCCAGTTCCTGGTGATTGGCCCATAGCCACCCAACTGGCTTTCGTGCATAAGGCGGGACTAGAACACACAGTCACCTGGTGATTGCTACAAAGTCACCCAGTTGGCTTTCAAGTCTAAGGCGGAACTAGAACTCACAGTCACCTGGTGATTGCTACAAAGTCACCCAGCCAGCTTCCGTGGCAGGGGTGGAATTAGAGTTCACAGTTTCCTTTCTTTCTTTCTTTCTTACTTTCTTTCTTTCTTTCTTTCTTTCTTTCTTTCTTTCTTTCTTTCTTTCTTTCTTTCTTTCTTTCTTTCTTTCTTTCTTTCTCTCTTCTCCTGCTTTTGCTAATTTGCATTAGTTTTTATGCTTTTTGTAAAAAAATAATTAAAATAATTAATAATTAGGAATTAATAAGGAATATTTTTTAAAAAATTAAAAAAACACACCAGAAGACTCCTCCTTTCCGCAGCCCTACCACTCAGGAGCATCCGCGACAAATGGCATGAGGTATTCAGAGTGACGGACCCCAAAAGAGTAAGACGGCCCCCCTGTCTTGTGAATGCTCACTTTTTCTGGGCTGTGGGCCCCCGGCCCGGGTGTCTGGAAGGCTCTTGGGGGTTTTTGGAGCCTCTTCAGCATGGAGAATGCTGGGGGGCGGCAGAAGCAGAGGGCAGACGCCTGGGAGTTGTAGCTTGCTGGGCCTGGCGTCTGGCAAGGTCCCTTGGAAGCGCTGCTTTGAGCGTTCTTGCCGGAGGTAGCACGGGTGGGCTTGGAGGGTCCGCTGGGAATCCGTGCTCTGAGCAATGAGGGGAGGGTGTAGCTGTTGGGAGCAGGAACAGGATCCACTGGACGGGACTTGGTGCGGGCACCTATGGAGAAGGAGGGTGCCCGCTGCTGAAGGCCAGATCCTGGCTTCTCTGGACTGTATGCACCCGGTCCGGGGGTTTGAGGCAGAGCTGGAGAAGGTGCAAAGATGAATATAGAGTTTAGAGGCTTTTTGTAATGGGGGGGGTGGGAAGAGGAGAGGGAGCTGGCCTTAAGAACCAGGTGTTATGGTTCCGGCTAATGAAACACTTCAAAGAACTTCCAGGCATTGATTTTCCTAAAAGTCTTTTATTGTTACAAAATGTCAGCACAGGCACAACGGAGGCTTTATCCAGTGTTTCTCAACCTTGACAATTTTAAGGCATGTGGACTTCAACTCCCAGAATTCCACAGAATTCTGGGAATTGAAGTCCACATGCCTTAAAATTGTCAAGGTTGAGAAACACTGCAGTTTATGCTAAGATCTAAGTTCTCTTCCTCTGAGCAGTTAAATTATCAGCATGTTCCCTCCCTAAATTAGCTGTCATGTATCACATTATCCAATTAGTGTGAAAGTCAAAGGTTTCCTTCCTCTTTCTTTCCCCCTGGCTTTGCCCCCACCCCCTTCTGCTCTGTATTAACCTCAAAAATACCAGTTCTGCATATTGTCAAAGCAAGAATATACAATATTTGCAGCCTCGACACCAGGAGCAAAGCAATGAACCACTAGGGCGGCGCGTTCCTCCAGCTTGGTGATTTTAAGATGTGTCTGGACTTCAATTCCTGCCTGCCTCTCTCTTTCTCTCTCTCCCCCCTGCCTGCTTCCTTCCTTCTTTCCTTTCCTCCTATTTCCTTTCCTCCCTCTCTCCCTCCCTTCTTCCTTTCTTCCTCTCTCTCTCTCTCCCTCCTTTCTCTCTCTCTCCCTTCTCTTTCTTTGTCTCCTTCCTTCTTTCCTCACTCCCTTCTTTCTTTTCTCCCTCCTTTCTTCCTCCCTCTCCCTCCTACTTTACTCCTTCCTCCTTCCTTTCTTCCCTCCCTCCTGCTTCCTTCCTCCTTCCTTTCTTCTTCTCTCTCTCCCTCCCTCTGTCCCTCCTCCCTTCCTCTATCTCTCCTTCCTTCCTCCCTCCCTCTCCCTCCTACTGTCCTCCCTCCTCCTTCCTTTCTTCCCTCCCTCCTCCTTCCTTCCTCCTTCTTTTCTTCTTCTCTCTCCCTCCCTCTTTCCCTCCTTCCTTCCTCTATCTCTCCTTCCTTTCTTCCTCCCTCTCCTACTTTCCTCTCTCCTCCTTCTTTTCTTCCCTCCCTCCTCCTTCCTTCCAACTTGCTTTCTTCTTCCTCTCTCTCTCTCCCTCTTTCCCTCCTTCCTTCCTCTATCTCTGCTTCCTTCCTCCCTCCCTCCCTCATTCTTTCCTCCCTTCCCTCCTTCCCATTCCTACTGCCTTTATTGCTTGGCGCTTACCTGGAGGTTTTGCTCGTCCCAGCATGGAGTAAGAAGGACCCTTTATCCTGCCGAAGCGTGTGTGCTCGGGGGACACATAGTAACAGGGTCCAGGACTTGCATCGTGGCCTGAGAAGAAAGGGGGAAAAGAAAGAGAGAGATCTTCGGATCTAAGGTTAGTGCTTCAGTTTATTCTGGCATTTGGCTGGGGAATTCTGGGAGTTGGGTTGTATCTCTCATTTGTTATCTTTACAAATCAGTCAAGGTAACAAGCATATCCAACACACTTTCCAAACAACAATAACAATAAGAGCCGAGGTGGCGCAGCAGTTAGAGTGCAGTACTGCAGGCCACTTTAGCTGACTGTGTTCAGCAGGTCAGCGGTTCAAATCTCACCGGCTCAAGGTTGACTCAGCCTTCCATCCTTCCGGGGTAGGTAAAATGAGGACCCAGATTGTTGGGGGCAATGTAAAGATATATATATATATTATATATATATATATATATATATATATATATATATATATATATATATGTTTTCTGAGGTTTTCGCGGGTGTTTGTATGTAGGTCTTTGGTTGTTCGGGTTTTCTCCCGCGTAAAATTGGAAGTGTCTTGGCGACGTTTCGACGAAGTCCCATTCGTCATCTTCAGGCTGGTGTTTTCAGCTTCGTGCTTCGAGCAGCAATGTGTGGTCTTAGCTGTTTCTTCCTTTTAACTGCCAGTGGGGGTATGAACTGATTGGGTGGGAGCTTGGCTGTGTTCTGATTGGGTGGAGGTGTGTTCTGATTGGTTAGGGGCTTGGCTGTGCTCTGATTGGCTGGGGGGTTGGCTGTGCTCTGATTGGCTGGGGGATTGTGCTCTGATTGGCTGGGGGAGTGTTCTGTTTGGTTGTGCTCAGGTTAGTCTGAGTTGCAGAGGGGTTTAAGATTTTGGGCTGCCTTGCTATTTTTTGGCTTCGCGTTTGTGGTCGTGCCTCATTTTCATGGAGGGTGTCAGTTTGCTTCGTGTATGGATTGGAGGGCTTTAAAGTGGCTAATGATGCAGCTCTGGTCTGGCTTCTGGTTTGTGGTCGTGCCTCATCATCGGTGTGGCTTTGGGTTTGCGTTTTGCGTGGATGTGTGGTGGTGACATCCTGTGTGGTTTTTGTGAGTGTGGGTCTGGTATCATTTTTTGTATTAGGGAGTCGTTTGTCAATAAGGGCGGGTTTCCAAATGGCTGGTAGGCGGGAGGTATCATCTCGCTTGTTCATGCTGTGTGGGCGTTTTTCTATCTCGATGGCTTCTCTGATTATTCTGTTATTAAAATGTTCACTTTTGGCAATGGTTCTGGTATTTTTAAAGTCAATTTCATGTCCTGTGGCTTTAAGGTGTTGGACCAGGGAAGATGTTGGTTCCTCTTTTTTGACTGAGTTCTTATGTTCTTCAATGCGTGCACTTATTCTTCTGTTGGTTTGTCCGATGTATGTGGTGGGACAAGTGGTGCATGGGATTTCGTATACTCCTTGATTTTCTAATTCAATTTTATCTTTGGGGTTTCTAAGGATGGTGGATATTTTTTTTGTTTGTGCAGAATGCTGTTTTGATGTTGTGTTTATGGAGGATCTTACTGATTCTGTCTGTGGTGCCTTTTATGTATGGGAGGAGGGCTTTGCCGTTTTCTTGTTCTTCGTCTTGGATTTTAGTGGGGGTTTCTTTTTGGATTAGGTTTGTAATCTTATTTCTTTGGAATCCATTGGATGTTAGTACATTGGTGAGAGTGTGTAGTTCAGTTTTTAGGTGTTGTTCGTCAGCTAAGCGTTTTGTTCTGGAGATGAGTGTCTTGGCTACAGAGTTGATCTGTGCTGGGTGGTGGTGTGAGAGAGCGTGCAGATAGCGGTTTGTGTGTGTTTTCTTCTGGTAGATGGTGTGTCCTAGGGAGCCATTGGATTTCTTGTAGACTAAGACATCCAGGAAGGGAAGTTGGTTGTTAGCTTCTGTTTCCATGGTGAACTGTATTTTGGGGTGTAGGCTGTTGAGGTGTGTGAGGAAGTTGTCCAGTTTTTCTTTCCCATGTGGCCAGATTATGAAGGTGTCGTCTACGTATCTGAGCCAGAGTTTGGGTTTGTGATCCGATTTTTCTAGAGCTTGGGTTTCAAAGTGTTCCATGTAGAGGTTTGCAATGACAGGTGAGAGGGGTGATCCCATGGGTGCTCCTTCTGTTAGATCTGACCAACCACTGCCTATCCAACACATACTTCATCTATAATGGACAAAAATACAAACAAACAGAAGGAGCATACATAAAAGGCACCACAGACAGAATCAGTAAGATCCTCCATAAACACAACATCAAAACAGCATTCTGCACAAACAGAAAAATATCCACCATCCTTAGAAACCCCAAAGATAAAATTGAATTAGAAAATCAAGGAGTATACGAAATCCCATGCACCACTTGTCCCACCACATACATCGGACAAACCAACAGAAGAATAAGTGCACGCATTGAAGAACATAAGAACTCAGTCAAAAAAGAGGAACCAACATCTTCCCTGGTCCAACACCTTAAAGCCACAGGACATGAAATTGACTTTAAAAATACCAGAACCATTGCCAAAAGTGAACATTTTAATAACAGAATAATCAGAGAAGCCATCGAGATAGAAAAACGCCCACACAGCATGAACAAGCGAGATGATACCTCCCGCCTACCAGCCATTTGGAAACCCGCCCTTATTGACAAACGACTCCCTAATACAAAAAATGATACCAGACCCACACTCACAAAAACCACACAGGATGTCACCACCACACATCCACGCAAAAAGCAAACCCAAAGCCACACCGATGATGAGGCACGACCACAAACCAGAAGCCAGACCAGAGCTGCATCATTAGCCACTTTAAAGCCCTCCAATCCATACACGAAGCAAACTGACACCCTCCATGAAAATGAGGCACGACCACAAACGCGAAGCCAAAAAATAGCAAGGCAGCCCAAAATCTTAAACCCCTCTGCAACTCAGACTAACCTGAGCACAACCAAACATAACACTCCCCCAGCCAATCAGAGCACAACCAACCCCCCAGCCAATCAGAGCACAGCCAACCCCCCAGCCAATCAGAGCACAGCCACGCCCCTAACCAATCAGAACACACCTCCACCCAATCAGAACACAGCCAAGCTCCCACCCAATCAGTTCATACCCCCACTGGCAGTTAAAAGGAAGAAACAGCTAAGACCACACATTGCTGCTCGAAGCACGAAGCTGAAAACACCAGCCTGAAGATGACGAATGGGACTTCGTCGAAACGTCGCCAAGACACTTCCAATTTTACGCGGGAGAAAACCCGAACAACCAAAGACCTACATATATATATATATATATATATATATATATATATATATATATATATATATTGCTTACTGGTGTACACCGCTTAGAGAGTGCTTGCACTTAAAGCGGTATATAAGCCTCATAAAATAAATAAATAAATAAATAACCCTATGAGATGGATTGTTTGAACTAAAGTGATTGAACATTGTAAAGTTGACAAGGTTGAGAAACTCTGGTCTATAAAGTCCAATATCAGGCACCCATCTGATATTGGACTTTAGACATGTCTGAAGTCTGCATCCAGTTTTGGTCACCACGATGTAAAAAAGATGCTGAGACTCTGGAAAGAGTGCAGAGAAGAGCAACAAAGATGATTAAGGGACTGGAGGCTAAAGCACATGAGGAACGGTTGCTGGAACTGGGTATGTCTAGTTTAATGAAGAGAAGGACGAGGGGGGGACATGATAACAGTGTTCCAATATCTCAGGGGCTGCCCCAAAGAAGAGGGAGTCAAGCTATTCTCCAAAGCTCCTGAAGGCAGGACAAGAAGCAACGGATGGAAACTAACCAAGGAGAGAAGCAACCTAGAACTAAGGAGAAACTTCCTGACAGTGAGAACAATTAACCAGTGGAACAACCTGCCTCCAGAAGCGGTGAATACTCCAACACTGGAAGTTTTTAAGAAGAGACTGGACAGCCATTTGTCTGAAATGGTTTAGGGTTTCCTGCCCGAGCAGGGTTGAACTAGAACAGAGGCCCTCAACCTTTGGGGCACCGGGGACCGGTTTCGTGGAGAGAGCTTTTTCCACAGACCGGAGAGTGTGTCGTTTTGTGTGCTGCCTGCATCCCATGGATGGTGCTTTACTTGTTTGTGTGGATCAGTTGCTGGCATACCGTAGCCCGGTGCCGGTCCAAGGACCAGGGTTTGGGGACCCCTGGACTAGAAGACCTCTAAGGTCCCTTCCAATTCTGTTATTATTATTAAGTCACCAGTTCATCTTTCCTAAGGTACTTCAGTGCAATAGCACAGGGATCCCCAACTCCGTGGATAGGCATCGGGCTGTGGCATCACATTTACGACCATTGCAGCATCCCCCATGGTAACAACAACAACAACAACAACAGAGTTGTAAGGGACCTTGGAGGTCTTCTAGTCCAGGGCTTTTCAACCTTTTCACCCATTGTACCACTTTTAGGATATGGCAACATCCGAGTACCACTAATCGCCTAGCAAGGTATCAAAAACTTGATGATCAAAAAAAAAAAAGGAAAAAAGTGATAAAGTACAGGTAGTCCTGGACTTACAACAGTTCGCTTAGTGACTGTTTGAAGTTACAATGGCACTGAAAAAAGGGCCCCCCAAGGCACAGCCAAGTAAGACACCTGCCTGCCCGCTCGGCGGCGCTCTTCCTCCTGTCCGAGGTTTTCATTGTTGTGAGCATTTCTGTTGAGGATTGGCAGCGGGGGTGGGGTATTGGTTTTTATTCCCCCCCTGTTTGCTGGGTGGTTGCAGCAGGTTTTGGTCACTTCACATGATCCTGGACACTGTGACCGTCATAAATATGAATCAGTTGCCAAGCATCTGAATGTAAATCATAAGACCCTGGTGATGCTGCAACATTCCAGCTTATCAGCGCTTCTTCTGGGCTCAGCAGAAGCACCAGGATCAGCGCCAAGCTCCAGCTGGAGCCTGGCGCTGATTCTGGCGCTTCCGCTGAGCCCTGATAGCCTCAAAGAAGCGCCAATCAGCTGGAGCCTGGCGCTGATCCTGGCACTTCCGCTGAGCCCTGACAGCCCTGCAGCTCCAGCCG